AAAAGCAAAAATAATATGAAATAAATAACTAAAAGATAGCGCAATTGAAAATAATAGTAGTTAAATAACAGTAAAACTATAACAACACCATTGATTCCTTGCTTGGAGCAATACTATACGAGTACAAAGATTTATTTTTGGTGACCTTGGTAAACTCCCTGTGGTCTAAAAGTCGAGGATTGACCTTAAAGTTAACCGTAGCCATAAAAGATGGTCAAAATCAGAGCGATCACACTCGTGTCCGAGCCTGCGGAGTACATTTTCACAAATGGTTGTGGCAAAGAAGAAAGACAGAAACATTTGCATCTGCATTGATCCAAGAGACCTTATGAAGGTGCTCATAGGACACCATTATTCGTCTTGGCTGCTTGGTTAGCGCTTGTTATCTGATTGAATGATTGCTGAACCAAGGGCATCAAATCAGATTGATTTAAATCAGATTTGATGAGGACGGTTGAAGATGTTGCCTCACGCATGGCCAGTGTTGCAGTATTTTCCACGCTTGACGCAAGAAGTGGTTTCTGGCAAATCAAATCCGACTACGAGTGCTCACTACTCGCCGGACGTCATTTGGAATCATCTCTGCTTCTGTTGTCTTTCAGCGTTTCATTGAAGAGCTTTTTGCTGGGTATCCCTGTGTAATAATCGTGGATGACCTGTTGGTATGGGGCGAAGGATCACCAGAGCACGATGGAAATTAAGGAAAACTCCTGCACAAGGCTCGAGAAAGTGGTTAGAAATTATCTCCAAAGAAATGTAAATTCCGCTGTATTCAAGTCCTATATAATAATAATAATAATAATAATAATAATAATAATAATAATAATAGTCTTTTTTCGAGGTTTTAAACAAACGTTAAAACTTACAAGTTCCATTATAAATGAAGATGCAACCGTCTAAGTCTTAATTACAATCTACTTAGAATCAAGGAGACGTCTATTTACAAAGCATTTCTTAAACCTCTCTGCATTAACACGTGGGATCTGGTGAAGATGCGACCTTCTGCGGACAACCCTGTTCTTAAGGGGGGGAGAAGATCCTGCAGGGGATGCGAGGAAGCACCCGTAATACTTTTCCAGAGCCACACATCCCTGTCTTTAATAACCTGTTGAATCGGTGTTTCATGTTGAATATACCCAAATCGAAAGGCCCTTCTCAATAGCCTATCAATCTGACTAAGGTATCTGGTATAATAATTAACCTCGCATTCGGTGAGGTGGCGAGAATGCTTTCGCAGGAATTTACTAAGAAGTCAATAAAAGCAGTTTCGTAATAATCAAAGGTCGGTGGATGGTAAACCGAGGCAACAAAATAATCTTTATTGGTCGTACTACACAAAGACAGGCCTCAAGCCTTATGACGCCAAATTTACTGCGATTAAAGATACACCTGCCCCTGACTTCCCTGGGCACTTCGCCGAGTCCTTTGTAGGTCAATTATCTACACTAATTCTTAAGCAAAAATCTCGGCGAGAAAACCGCTACGCTACTCGAACTGCTACGGAGAGACACGCGTTGGAGCTGGGAAGCACTTCATCAAAAAAGCAAGTTCTTTGATCCTGTAAAGCCATTACACTGTCAATGGAAGCTTCAAAGAATGGTTTTTGGTGTTGCATGCTTTTAGGATGGGTACCCTGTGGCATGTGCCAGAAGAGCCCTAACAGAAGCTGAAACTCGATATGCACGGATCGAAATGGATATGCATGCAAGAGAATTCATGGTTTCATCTGTGGTAGGGAAGCAATAATTGAAACTGATCACAGACCTCTTTCTGCAATCGTAAGCAAGCCTCTTCACAAGGCCCGTGCCGATCTTCGACGAATGCTGTTCTAGCTACAGAGCTCCGATATGCCAAAGTGGAAAATACCATAATATTCTTTAAGCTATCGTCAGGGTGGTGTAAACCTGATTTTTGCGTTAAAGTAAAACCTTTTTTTCCCTTGAGGTATGAGCTGATGGTGGATGATGGTATCACTCTGAAAGACCTGATAGTTGTGGTACGCGATCCTTAAGCAAGCGGCATGTCCAGCAACTACGCAAGGGACACCCTGGAGCAGGTGCTGCAATGGAAAGAACTCGGGATGTTATTTATGGCCCTCTATGTCATCGGACATTGACTCTGCGATAGCCTCTGTCAGCCGTGCAATAGTGCCAAACCACACATGCAAAGAGAACCACTTGTTATTAATCCGGTCACAGATCTCCCGTGGTTATTTGTGAGTGCATGCATATTGGACTGAAATGGATTGCAGTACCTGATTTTATCGAATCTTACTATAGTTGGTTTGAGATTGATATCCTTCGTGGTTCGTCCACCAAAATTGTAATTGAGAAGATGAAGCGTGGAAGTGCTTAATGACAATGGTCCACAATCTTTAAGCAGGGAATTTAAACGTTTAGCTAATGAATGGCGCTTTGAGCACGTAGCAAGCAGTCTGTATCATCCAATAGCCTGGCCGAGAATACTGTCAAACCTGTTTTGAAAGGGTACGAAAAACGGTTCTGGTCCCTCAATTGGCCTCCTTAATCTACGCAATGTTCCTAAAGATCAAACACTAGGTTCTCCTGCCCGGCGACTCATGTCCAGTCGTTCCAGTTTCACTATTCCTATGGCAAATCATCTCCTCACTCTTAAGGCAGCCAGTACTTTAAATGTCTCTTCAGCTTATGATAATCAGCATGTCAAGCATCTTGCTCTCTTTATTCACAACAGCTTGTGAAACTTCAAACTAAGAAAGGTTATGAGAAAAGTGGCGTTGTTAAGAAACCAGCTGCAGAGCAAAGATCCTACGTCGTGCAAACACGAGTAAAGGAGTACCGCAGAAACCGGAAACATATTTTAGCTGTTCCGGAACCTGCTCCAGCTCAGTCTCCTGCTGCTGCTTTTTCACCGACTCTCTTAGCTACAGCTCTTCAACAGCCTCCAACCCTGTCAAATGCTCCTCACCAGGGTCCTACCATGTCAAATGAGGATATATTCCCTGAGTTTGCAATTCCCGCCAAGACACCATCAGAGCCTGGAGTCTATCAGACGTCACCGACAAGGACGTTTTATCAGACCCAAAGCTTCACTACAGTTTTCTCTTGAAAGAGGTACGCCGGAGGTCTCTGGTTCAAATGGTCTTGCGTACTCTAATGCCAAAAGATCGCAAGTTGTCACAAGATCTGGAAGAATCTCACGACCTTATTCGAAATCCAAGGAGTTTTTGACTTAATTTTGCAAATAAAGGACATATTTAGCATAGTCTATTATTAGTTCTCACGGAGGTTATTTGCTAAACAGCACAATATGAGTTCCTGGAATCGGATTTTCAGTAGCAGATCTAGATCGCCCAAAACTCGCATTTTATCGATGTCAAAGTTTTTTTGTTTATTGTTGTCATAGTGATATCGATTTTAATAAAAACTGCATTTTGGCAAACCTCAATTCATAGTCAATCACTGGAGAAAAGTTTGTAGTAATCGGACAAGAACTAAATTACTTTAAAGGCGATTGAAAAACATCGTTATGGTCTCCGAAAAACTGTACCAAAAACCTTAAAGGGAACCTAGAGAAAGCCAATGCATACAAGGATGCCATTAACCAATATGTAGAAAAGAGGTATGTTGTAGAGGTAAAGGAGGCAGTTGATGGTGACAAGAAAGTCAGGTATTTATCTTTTCACGCAGTCGTCAGAGAGGACAAGAAAACTAGAAAGTGTCGTGTTGATGCGTCAGCTTATGATGAACGTGAGGTAACACTCAATGACTGTATCCTTTCAGGGCCGGCACTTCAACCTAATCTTGTATCGGTTGTTAAGAAGATGTTCCTCCAGATCAAAGTTGACGAAAGAGACCAGGACGCTCTACGATATCTATGGAGGGATCTAAAGAGTGACGATCCACCGAGAATCTACAGGTAGCAGAGATTAGCATTTGGTGTTAATTGAACTCCATTCCTCGGAATTGCCACAGTTCAAAGTCACCCTATTAAATGCAGAGAAGAGTTTCCTAATGCATCAAGAGAAGTCCTGTCAAACATGTACGTGGACGATTGCATTACTGCTACTGATGACGTTGGAGTTACGGTTGAGTTGCAGCAGTCCTTACTCAAGATGATGGAACTAGTTCAGGTTGCTAAGAATTGTCAGTCGAGGAGTTAAACGACGCCAATTTATACTGGTACGGAGAGCTGCAACGGCAGATGTTACTCATGTTCAAGAAGTATTGAGGGAAATAAAAGTCAAGAAATCACCTGGCGTTGACGGCATTACACCCAAGCTACTTAAGGTCTCAGCCGAGATTATTGCTGCTTCACCGTCCGTCATATGCAACAATGCTATATCCCAGTGTAAATATCATTCAGAATGGAAGAAGATAACCCCTCTGACCAAGAGCTCTGATGGTGATATGAAAAAAGCATTATTTAGACAGGTGACTGTGCTTCCAGCCCTCAATAATGTCTTTGAGAAGATTCTTGCGTCACAGCTGACGTCGTACTTTCAGAAAATCTTTTGTGATTTCTTGTCAGCTTATAGAAGACATCATGGCTGTCAAACTATACTGGTTATTGTTGAGGAGTGGAAGAAAAGTCGCGTTAAAGGGGAGCTCGTTGCTAGTTACAACGGATTTATTCAAGGCATTTGACAGTCTCCCTAATTAAAAACTTCTTATCAAGAAGCTGCAAGCATACGGCCTTGATAATCTGAGCTGCTCTTTTCTTCTGGACTATCTTCAGAATAGGTTACAGCAGGTTACGGTCGAAGACACTGTGTCGTCATTGGAGTTCACAAGTAGAGAGGTACCACAAGGCTGCGTTTTATATAATGTATTTCTCAATGACCTGGCCTAATTTATTACTGGAGCTCATCCTAACGCATATCCTCATGATCAGCAACGGTACTTTTCTGATCTGATACTAATTATTTGACTCTGCGCACCCAACTCAATAATGAACTCTCTATAGCAGTGGACTGGTTCAAGCACAACGGTTTAATTGCCAATCCTAACAAATTTCAGTTAATGGTACTGGGAGATGATCATGAGTTTTCACTTGCTGTTGATGGGATAGAGATCAACCGATGGGATGATATTGATTTACTGGGTGTTAACAACTCTAAGTATACATTTGATAAACACGTTACAAATTTGTGCAGTAAAGTAAATTTACAACTTCAAGTTATAAAAAGATTTAGAGAGTTGATAACAGGACAAATTAGGTTAAAGCTCTATAATGCATTTATACAACCCTTTTTTTGTTATTGTAGCGATGTGTCGCTTTTTTATTGCAGTTAAATACGCAGATACTTAGCGTAATTTTAAACGATTCATCCAGCAGTTATGAGGATCTACTTACAAAACTTGATATGACCACCCCAGAGGCAGGACGGGTGCAAAGCATTATGTTGACATTGTACAAATGTTTACAGGGAATGGCCCCGCCTTACCTTCGAGCTTGCATTCAAGAGCGGCGTGTATGAGATTATAATTTGAGAGGCTAAGACAAGCTGGAAATACCGCATGTTAAGACTACCACCTCTGGTTTGCGATCATTTAAATACTTTGCTGCTCATGCCTGGAATAACCTGGCCGATAATATCAGAATGTCCGAAACGCTTGCCACTTTTAAACGCAATATCGTAGATTATGTTTATTAAGAGTTTTTGTTGTTTTTTCCTTTCCCTCGAGAATGTCGAATTGTAGATCTTAATGATATTTTGTTATGTAAATTCTTGTATCAGTGTATCAGTGTAGCTAAAATATAAGTTAAGCCGTTATGTCCTTTATTAGCTTTGGATCTTTTCGGTTTTTATATCATGTAGATCGGAGATACTAACACTATGTGCTACTCTACATCACAAATAAAATAAAGTTATGTACGTATGTATGTTTGTATGTATGTATGTAGGTGTACCAAGCACAGTGTGAAAGGTTGAAGGAAAATCCTCTTTTACCAAACACCAGTGTTATCTTCAAGTCGGATCCCTACTTTGACAAGAGAGATCGGTTGCTACAGGTAAGAGGAAGATTGCAGTACTTGGACCTACCTGAGGGTATGAAACATCCAATTATCTTACCGTATGGGGCATCCAGCGGTTAAAGAGATCATACAGAGTGTTCACAAGGACCTGCTTCGTGCTGGACCAGACAGACTCACCTTGCACTTGGAAGGTCAGCGTTTAGCTTACCAGACATTGCAGACGAAGTTTCAGCAAACGGAGGTACAACGAGGCGGCGATAACTGTATCAGCAGAAGTTTCTTAACCATTTCTGACAGCGCAGGCGAGGAGAGTACCTGCATCAGTTATCAGTCAGATATAAGTGGGTGTGTGAACAGCCACTGCCCTCAAGATCAGAGACAGTGCTAATTTCTAAAGAGGTCAAGAGGTAAGTGGCCAATGAGACGAGTTGGTTCCTGGAAAAGGTGGCCTTGTTTCTACTGTAACCCTTAAGCCACAGAAAGGACGTCTAAGGAGACCTGTTCAGAGGCTGCATCGTCTGGAAGCGAGTACTACTCAGTTTTTAAGTGATGAATTTGGCGACAGTGGCCCTAACGGTGGGGAGTCTGCCACTCAGCTACAGGTATATCCTCCCTTGACGTATCTGGCACTAACTCTTCCGCTGGTTCAGGAAACTGTGGTTTGCGTTGTAGCTCTGTACACAAAGTTGAAGGTATGAACCTCTGGCATAGTTGTTGGTGATGTCGCTTCTAGATAATGTTTTGACCCTGATCTCAAAATTCTTGGGACTGTCTGTTCCCGCAGTTGTTCCTGAAATCAATTTTGGTCCTTTGCCAAAATTACAAGCAGAAAATGCTTTGGTTCGATGTTAACGAGGGTCACACAAAAGAGCGAGGCTCTATAGAACTTTACAGACATGACTATAAAAGTATGCTGAATCTATTAAATCAGCCATAAACAGCTATAAATTTAAAATACAAAGAATGATTTATTTTCATGACTATATAGGTACACTGAGTCTATTAGATTATCCATAGACAACTTTTAGTTTAATAATTTAATGTCTCCAAAAAGGCTAAAAATATCATGAGCATTATAAAAGACATAAACGGTAACTCTAATAACAGCATAGATTATATTTTACAATGTTACGTACAGCGCAACACTTAGCGAAGACTAATTTCCAGCTATTGAAAATGTTGACGTCGTAAGACATAGTTAAGGCACAGTTATACTGCTGGCAGATAATTCCACAACAAAGTAAACGATTAAAATAACTACGAATTTAGTGCGGTACTTAGGAATTGACAAATCTAAAACACAGCTGTTCCGCGTGGAGCGAGAGATGATGTTCTGCTGCACAGAATCATTAAGAGAGATATTGTACAGCTGTAGTGACTTAATCGTCTTCTGAAGTAGAAAAGAAGATATTTGATTTCACGAACAAAAGAAATAGGTAAGAGGTTCACTTTCATAAGTCTCTCCTTGTAGCTTTTAGGTTGAATCCGTCTGACCTAAGTTGAGCATAATTTGGTAACTCGACTTTAAAGACTTTCAACATTAGAGATCTTTCTTATAGACTGTGGTGCCCAGATTTCACGAGCATAACTCAGTTGACAACTGAAAAAAGGTAGGTGCAAAGTCTTTTGGTGTCAATGTTAATATCGCGACAGGTGGGTCTTCGAAGAAATACCAATGCCCTTTAGTACTTAGAGATAACATTGGTTGTGTGCTGGTTCCACTGAAAGTCAATAGTAACCGAAACTCCAAGATCTTCTTTCGACGTTACATGAAACAGAGGATCATTTTCAATTTTATAATCGAATCGGAGAGAGGTTCCTTTGCGTGAAACACATTTGGAGCTATTAAATTTCAGTTGCCCATCTTGTCTTGTACAGAAACACACTCATTGGTGCGTTTGTTTACTTTAAAGTACTTTGAGTCGTCTGCAAGGAGTGCAGAAGTGTTGCAAGTAATACTGGGAAGATCATTGATATAGATCAGGAAAAAAGAAAGATGCTAGAATACTT